AAAGGGAGGGAGAGAGGAAAAGAGGGAGAAGATATCAAACGTGCTGGGAGCTGTGAGGTCTCAGATCTTGATAGAGATGAAGAAAGAAGACTGTTAGGTTTTCTTGAAATGGCTATTCCAAAGGGATGTGAAAGAAGGATAAGGAATAAGGCGGTCCTTTGAGAACGTGTTATAGGCTATGTGGCCAGCTGAGTGTAGTAATAAGAAGGAGACCTTCAAAGGCAGGAGGTGGGCTTGCTGCCTGCAGTATTGTACAACTCAGTGGGTGTTGCTAATGATGAGATGCCAAATAGATAGGAAGTACGTGAGAAAAAAAAGTCAAAAATGATTCAAATTAACCCTCCAGCCCCATTGTGGTCCATTCAGAGCTGAGAGGTGTTGCTTCATGGGTCGCACTACACACAAAGTGGCAATTCTACTGTCCAACATCTCAGGGACACCCCCTTCTCGATGAAGAAATGAACTTTAATTACTTGCCACTTAAAAAAATCTAAGGTCTATTAAGAAGCTGGCTTGCAGATTTGGAATCACAGAACTTCAGAGTTGAAGGGACTTCAGAGAGCATTCATCCAACCTATTCATGAAGAAGAGTTCTCATTACAACATCCCCGACAAGGGGTCATTCAGCCATTGCTCTAAGCCTTCCAGGGAGAGGGAACCCATGGTCTCCCAGGTAGTCTAATCCACTCCTGGATCATTCAAAAAGTTACAATGGCTCTAAGTACTAGAACACCCTGAATTTTCAACCATCACCAGAGGGCCTTATACCTTTTCCTGTTCTAGAACAGACTCTCAGGGATGCAGAGGAGAAAAAGTCTGGGTAAGAATAAAGACTATATTCCTCATCCCTTGGTTATCTATTTAGATGAAGTACAGTGGGGAATTAGGTCAACACTCCTCCTAGGCTTAAATTCTGAAGTTAGGCAGCTTTTAGGGGTCTCTTCTCAACTGATTGTATGTAGAAAGCAGGTGAGGAAGCTCAGCCCACTTTTCTTCACAACATAGTGGACTGCCCTGGATTATTTACTTAAGGCCAGTACTGATCTAGCTGCTAAGTAAATAAGACGTGGCAGGGGTGGGGAGGGTCACAATCACTAAGTGGTCCCCAAACTCTGCAAGGTCAAGGCCATCATTCCATTTCACTCTGACTTTGAATCAAAGAGGCAAGCTTCAAGATCATCTAGCCCGTCTCTCACATTTGACATACGAAGAAACAGAGGTACAAAGAAGGGGACAGATCTGCTCAAGAGGACTGACTAAGTTAAGGGCATGTTGAGAACCAGAATCCAATCTACCATTCCATGTTCCTTTTCATCCTTCCAGTTTCTTCTTTGGATTTTCTTTTTCACCTCATACTTTTGTTTTGAAGTCTTTCAAAGGTGGTATTCCATTTTCCTCCCCCATTAGAATATATGTTCCTTGAGGGCAGGATTTATTATTTCCTTTTGTCTTTTTAGCCTCATAGAAGTTTAACCACTGCTTACTAATTAACTGATTTATTATCCTAAGATAGAGGATGGGAGAGCTGTAGTTTACAAGTCACCTTCCCTGATTTTCAAAGCCACAAGAGTTTGGACAGTGCTATTAGCTTTGCCCAAGGATGCTGGAGGGAAGGTGTTGGAATGCACATCCTGGGAGAAAGATCCTTTCTTGTGGAGTGGGAATGATGGTGGCAATATCTTTCTGATATAACTGCTGAATTCCTAGTCTTATACCAGTCCACACCACTCTGAGCTAAAGGTCCCCCCAACACCCCCCCCATGGCCTCAGAGTCTCTGTTCCAATCCTCATAGGAGTACAGACAAGACTATTGCATCGACTATTTCTTATCTCATCAAGACTGCATCCCCAGTCAGGCTATCTTCTGAGCCCTTCTCCTCCCTCCAAAATGAATTAGCTCTAGGCATAAGAAAGCCTTGCTGTGGGTCTGAGTAGAGGAGATATATTCCAGACCCTATCTCCTGGCAGTGAAAGTAACAAAGAGTGGGCTAAGGAGGAAGGAGAGTGGAACTAGGTCATACTACCTTCCTGCTCTGCATCTCATCTCCATTCACATAGCCAGCATATAGTTTTTTAACTATCATATTCAAGGTTGGCCTTACAAATTGACCAAGGAGATACCCCTGTTCCCTAAATATCACTCTCACCGTCTGCTATTCCACCAAGATCCCTAATGGGGTCTCGGAAGTCTTTTTAGCCTTCCAGAGTCTCCTTTTAAAATGCTAATGCCCCTATGAGGGGTCACCAGGTTTGAGCCATTATCAGCTGAAACTTTAGTTATCAGCCACTGCCTCAGCCAGGATTAGTTGACTGCCTACTGAGAGTAAGAATGGGAGGCCGGGGACGGTGGGGGTGGGGGGAGGCAGGTTGCCTGGGAGAAAAGAGGAAGCAGAAGGAAAGAAAGAACTGCAGACAGAGAATGGGGCAGGCTTCCCCCCACTCCCACGCCACCCCACCCCCACACCAAACCACTTCATCTGCTCAGTTTTGTCACTGGGTGTCCCATTGGTTTCCAATCTCTAGATTAAACTAAAGATTGGTAAAGGTGCTCCCACAGATTTAGTTGCCAATTCCTATAGGTTCTCCAAGTATCTCACACATCTGCCCCCTTTCTTTCCCTTTCCACTGTCCTTTGCACCTCTAGCCTGGACTTTTGCAATTATCTCTTAACTTGTTTCTTACTCTCTCTGTCTCTCAACCTCTCTCTGTCTCTCTCTCTGTCTCTCTGTCTCTCTCTCTCTCTCTCTCTCTCTCTCTCTCTCTCTCTCTCTCTCTCTCTCTGGCTTTCTGTGTCAGTTTCTTTGTCTCTCTATCTGTCTATCTCAGTTTCTCAATTTTTGTCACTGTCCATCTTTCTATTGGCTTTCTCTGCTCCAGTATATTACATGCACTGCCTCCCCCCCCCATAAGGTCATTGTGCTGAAGCTGAATTCAGATATTATAAACCCCCCACTTTACAGATGAAGAAATTTAAATGACTTACCCAAGGGAGATTAAGTGACTCAGGTAGTAAGCATCAGAAGCAGGATTTGAACCCAGGCCCTCTGATTCCAGAACTAGTGCACTTTCCAGGCAGTCAGTCAATAAACATCTACTAAGCACCCATTATGTTCCAGGAGCTGCACTAAGCATTGGGGATACAAAGAAAGGTAACACAGTCCCTGCTTTCAAAGAACTCAAAGTCTCTAACTCTATATTATGCTAAGTAATCTTGCTAAAGTTTAGCTCTGTCTGACCATGCCCTGATCCTGAATCTTTAATATTTCTCCCTTTTCTACTGAATGAAGCCTAAACTCCATAAATGAAATCACAGAGGGCCTTGAATATTGATGTGTTTCTAACCTCCCTTTCCAACCTAATGTAAACATACTTTACAATGAGATACAGTAGAAAAAGAGGGCTGGATCTGACATTATTGATGTAGAGATGAATGGGACCCTCAAGGTCATCTGGTCCTGAGTTTGAATCCCAACTCTGCCATGGAGTGCCTGAGAGGCCTTGGGCGAGTGACTTCACCTCTGCGCCTCAGTTTCCTCATCTATAAAATTAGCATGGCCCCTTCCAGCATGAATACCTGATCCTAGGATCATGCTTGTCTGGCAAACTGGGGCTACTGACCATTTCCTGAAATTCTCCCCTTCCTCTCTCACCTCCTAATCTTTGCTCACACTGTTCTCTGTGCTGTGAAGGCAGTGGATAGAATGCTGACCTTAAAGACAGAAAGACACTGAGTTCAAATCTGGCCTCAGATGCTTATTAGCTGTATGACTCTGGGCAAATCACTTAAACTGTGTCTCCCTCAATTTCCTCATCTGTAAAAATGGGGATAATATAATGCCTACCAACCTGGGTTGCTGTGAGAATAAAATGAGATAACATGTAATGTTTTGGTTGTTCAGTCATTTTCAGTTGTGTCCTACTCTTTGTGACCTCATTTGGGGTATCTTGGCAAAGATACTGGAGTGGTTTGCCATTTCCTTCTTCAAACATATGCAAAGGGCTTTGTAATCCCTAAGGAGTTGTTTGCTATTATTATTGTTTGTTGTTGTTGTTATGTAAGTGCACCTGGAATTTGGAAGCCACAAATTGAAACATCTCAACAATGCTGGCTGCCCATTGGAATCTGACCCATCCATCGAGGTCCAGCTCTGATGCCACCTCCTCCATGACACTGCCGCCATCCTCCCAGTTCAGTTACCAGTGGTTTCTCAGCACTTAAAGTGTTAATAGTATTTCTCGCCTGAGAGGTATGCTCTGCCTTAGACTCTAGCAGACCACAAACTCCTCAAGGGTAAAGGCGAATTCTTATTTGTCTTTGCGTCTCTCAGTAGTTTGAACATGGTTCTTCATGTCTATTGAATTGGACCAAATCATCGAAGTCCTTGTAGTGCTTATTGTCTAGAGCAAACATTGATTTAGTACTTTATTATACGCTGTCTAGTGGCCTGTCCTACATAGCTCTTCAACCCTTCTCCTGTTGTTTTCACTTTCCATGTGTGTCTGGGTTGGTAAAATAAAGCATAAGGTCTGGACCCTTCCCTCCAGGGGCTCAGGAAGGGCCCTAGAATTATCAGGTCATCACAGAGCGTAGAGCTCTGGGCCTGAGGTCAGACAGAACTGAATCTGAATCCTAGTAACCTAGACACTTACTAGCTATGTGACCCTTATCAAATTATTTTTTCTGTTCCTCCATTTCCTAATCTATAAAATGGGGATAACAATAGTACCTATCCCCAAAGTCAGTTCAGAGGATCAATGAGATAAGATATGTAAAGCTATATTAATGTTAACTATTTATATATTATAATATATATTATTTTATTTGTATATGATTAATACATATCATTTTCATATATTAACTATATTAATGTTAACTATTTGTTATTATCATCATTATTATTACTATGGAAGGTCAAAAGATGATCAATCTTACATGCTGAAATGAAAATGAGATTCAGGGAAGGTTTCCATAGAGAGTGAGTTTAAAGGAGATCAATTACCTGGGTGTGTGGGAAGTAGTTTGCTTGTGTTAGCCAGTTGGTGTCCAGTTCTTATTCTCAGAAAGATGGATTGAGGCTGGGCTGCAGAATTCATCTTGGTCAAAGGAAGCCATTTAGGTTGTGATCTTCATCTTCAAGTTTTTTCACTCTATCCATAAATATGTGAGGATGGTTAGATAGTGGATAGAGCACCAGGCCTAGAGTCAGGAAGGAAAATCAGGAAAGATTCATCTTTCTGAGTTCAAATCCGGCCTCAGACACTTACTAGCTGTGTGACCTTGTACAAGTTGCTTAACCCTGTTAACCTCAGTTTCTTCATCTGTAAAATGAGCTGGAGAAGGAAATGGCAAACCACTCCAGGATCTTTGCCAAGAAAACTCCGAATGGGGTCATGATACAGCGATGAGCATGGAGTCACGAAGGCCAGGATTCAAAATCAACCTTGGGCAAAGCATTTGAACTCTCTGAGCCTCAGTTTCCTGATCTGTTAAATGAGGGGATTATACTACGTGGTTTCTAAGGTCCCTTCCAGTTTTAAATCTATGTTCATATAAATCAAAACAAAATATGTGAACAATTAAATACCAAGTAATGACAGCTGGGTGGCATTAGGAAAGGCCTTGCATAAGAGGTGGCACTTGAGCCTTAAAGGAAGACAACAATTCTACAAAAAGAGAGGGAGTGCATCTGTTGCCTGGAGGAATAGCTTGCGTGAGAATTGAACGGGCAATGGCTTGTTATGTATGAATAAAAGCAAATAGGCCAATTTGGCTGGGAAACAGAGTGATGAGGGAGAGTAATTTAAAATGTCCAGAAAGGTAGACCAAATTATGAAAGGCTTTACATTTCAAACAGAGGGTCTTATATTTTATTTTAGAATCAATAGGGAGCCACTCAAGTTTCTTGAATACAGGAGTAACTGAGAAGGCTGGAAAGAATATTAGAAATCATGTTGTTATTGTATAGAGGAGAGATCATTTCCCCACCTTACATGTAAGGAAAGTGAAAGCCACTGCTTAGAGAGGAAAAAAAGATATTTATGTCTTGTTTTTGGTCTATGGTCTATCCTGATCATCAGTTTCCTCTGTCTTCTCTGTTTCTATTCCTCAAACTCTGACCTTCTTAGCATTTAGAGCATCTCATTTTTGAAGGATTTATAAAATCATAGAATAGCAGACACCTAAGCAAGGGGCTGCTGGTAAATGTGTAACAACCAACTCGTACGCCCCCCCCAAATGTGCAAATAACACACTATTAGGTTTAATCTGCTTTAACATTTTCTCCATCATTTTCTGAAGTCTAGACGAACAAACCATACATCAAGCTCTGATTTGCGTTTGTGATTTCTCAGGTATAAATGCTCACACTGAAAATTGAACAGTTCTGGGAGCCTCTAGCACACACTTGGCAAGGGACCCAAAAAATAAGACCATCAAACCCAGATTTTTCTTAACCTTTATCATGCTTCCCAGTCCTTCTGTAGCCACCTCAGGCCACGGTGAGCTCTCCTGCCTCTGAACTCAAAGCATTGTCCCTACTGCCCAATGTTAAGAAGTAAGCACTTCCCTGTATTGGTAGCAGGTTTTTCCTTGTATGTCCCATCTCATCTTCTCAATTTTGACTTTCTTTTGAGTAGTAACCATCTCTTCTACCCTCACAGAGCCTAACTGTGGAAAGCATGGAAAGTATAAATATTTGTCGATAGCTTGTTTGATTGGCATTTTCTACTTTGAGTTATGTGAGTGCCTTAAAAATAAACCAAGCTTTGAAATCTCAAAGTTAATTTGACTTAGACTTGGAAGAGACCTTAGAGGTTCTAAAAGGCAGCCTACCACAGTGAAAAAAGGTATGAATCTGGACTCCAAAGACCTGAGTTTGAATTCAGTACTGTGCTGACAATCAGTAAATCACTTTATCTCTTAGGGCTTCTGTTTCCTAACATATAAAATGATGGGGCCATTCTAGGTGATCACTAAGGTACTTTCCAACTTGGAAACCTATGATTCCAATATAAACAATCTCATTTTTCAGGAGAAGACAAGGGAGGTGGCAACCTGTCCAAGGTCACACACCTAGTTAGTGACAGAATGGGAACTGGAATCCACATAGTCTGATAGTCATGGCTCCAGATCACATGGCTTCTGCAGTTGGGGGAGGGCCTGGCAGGGGTGCATCTGCCTTCTGCAAGGGAATGGCAGGGAGCACTGACTCCCTCCACTGACATTCCTCCCCCTCTTCCTCTCCCTGCCATCTGGCAGCTCCTAGCCAGGCTGACACTGATCTGAAGGGCCTTACTCCGGAATCTGGGAGTCTGCCGAGGTTAGAATGTTTCTTTCAATCTGGCACTGCCATTAAGGGCGTCCTCCTCCTACTTTAATGCTAGGGTTAAGCCGGGTCTCTTTCATGTTACATTCAAGCATGTTTCAACCAGGGAAAACAGGCGTACGGGTCTCAGCCATCAGAGTAATGTGATGGTTTTAAGGTGTCCCCAGGGCTTAATAAAAGGTGGTAGTTTGGGTAACATTTCTGTGATAGGCCCTTCTGTTAATACTTATCCTAGATAATGTATCTTCCAAATGGCCTGAACAGAGTGCTTGTGATATTAAGAAGATTTTCTGATGTAGCTCTACACATGGTCTTTCTATTCTACTTTAAAAAAATAAGTGTATGTATATATGTGTGTGTATATATATACACACACACACACATACATAATGTATATAATGTATACATATGTATGTGTATCTATACACACATGCATATTGTGCTATTTTATATGTACATATATACACATGTACAAATATGCACATATGCATACATATATGCATGCCTCTAGCTTACATACATATATATGCATGCATGCACACACATATTTGTGTATGCATATGTGTATATATGTATGTGTGTCTGTCTGTGTGTGTGTGTGTGTATATATATATATATATATATATATATATAGTCGAAAGTGTTAATGCAGAGAAGGAATAAGGCAGGGGCAAGTGTTAGGTTTTCACAGGCCCCCAGCCAGTGAAACAGGCCATTGTAGCTTTCTAGATCAGCTATAATTCTCTTAAACACTTGGGAAAACATGAGAAATGGAATTTTGCTAAAACAGCTCCACGTGTGGCTTCCTAATTCCACTTGTGCTTAGGACAAACCTCAGCCCTGCCTGGTATGAATCACTTCCTCAGCTGTTCATGGACACACAACATAGATTTACAAAGGAGCCAGGAGGAGAGGTGTGGAGAGTTATTTCTGAGGTATAGAAATCCTCAAGATGGATGCAATCTGTAAGCCAGCTCCCATTAAACCAGTGGAAACAACTTCATTATTTGAGAAGGAGGACAATTCCTTTAAAATATACTCCTTTTACGATGAGGAAACTGAGGAACAAAGAGAGGAAGTGACTTCCCCAAGACCACATAAATGGTAAATAGAAGAGCTGGAATTTAGACCCAGATCATCCAGATTCCATGGGTTTTTTTCCCCCTACTATGGCATGGTGTCTACTTGCCATTTAAATGCAATAGTAACAAGCGTTGAAAATAAAACTCACAAAATACACCTCTTTTCCTTCTCTACAGGTGTGCAAAATCGCATATTCTGCCAGATTTGGTAAAGTATTGGTTATTTTTGCTAAACTTCTTACCCTCTTCCTTTTTAATTCTTTTTTACAAGAACTAGCTTTCTCTCAATGGAAGAGGAAGTTACATATTTAGAAATTAAATTGATATGAAAACAAAAGATATCAATAATTTTTAAAAGCAAATGTGAGTAAGCTTGCAAAATGCTCTAAATCACTAATTATAAGAGAAATGCACATTAAAACAATTCTGAAATTTTCCTTCATATCCACCATCTTAATAAGCACAATTAAAACAATGACAACAGCCTAGTAGTCAACACTGGAGAACTTGTGGAAAGATAGCAACTCATACACCATTGGTGGCACTGAATTGGACCAACTGTACTGGAAAACAAACTGCAACTAAAGGAAAAAAAACCCCACTAAATTGTTCATACTTTTTGATCCAGTGATCTCACTGCTGGTCATATACTCCAAGGACATCAACAACAGAGAATAAGATCCTATATACACCAGAATAATGACAGCATACATTGGAAACAAAGTGGGTGCTCATTAATTAGAGGGATGGCTGAAAAAATGGTGGCCTCACAATAATGAAACATGAATGTAAGTAATTGGGAGAAACATGGAAAGACATATGTAAAGAGAGATGGGAAAAAAAAACTGACTCAAAAGAATGACCTATTCAATGGTTATCATAAAGTAAATGGAGACATAACCAGGAGGGATATGAACTCAGATTAACTTCAGTGAATGCTCTTTGTCCCGGAGAAGAAAAGATGTAACATTTACCCTTCTTCTTTTTAGGGAGGTGGGGAACCATAAGACTGGAATGTAGTGTCAGACTCACTGTCAAATTCAGCTACTCTTTGGTCAGTTTTGTGTAATATTTTTCTTTGTCAAAAAGGAAGGTTCAATTGGGTTGGGGGAAGCCTTCCAACTTCTTTTTTTGCATTCTCTTACCCCAATAGATTGCAAGCTCCTTGAGGGCAGGGACTGTCTTTTTTAAAAATTTGTATCCCCAGTTCTTAGTACAGTGCCTGACACATAATAGGTGCTTAATAAATGTTTATTGAATGGAACTAAATATATTGGGAAATAGCTGTAATATAAAAAACAAACTAATAAACAAGCAGGCATCAATTAAAAGAAAAAGGAAAAAAATTTTGGACTGGATCCAGTGAAGAAACTCCCTTTTACCAATGCTGGTTGGTCACTGCTTTGCAACTTAGAGTCATAAGGAGCTGCTCAGGGTCCCATAGGCACTGTGTATCAGGGCAAGAGCTGAGTTCATGTCTCTCTGACTCTGAGGGTGGCTTTCTTTCCATTGCCCCATGCCTAAAATATTCTCTTCTTTAAGGCCCCAATTCAATCCCATCTAAAGAAAAGGACCAGCTCATTCCCAGGCCTGTCTACTCTAATCCGGTTTTCCTCTGTCTCTAGCACTTGTCCTCTGTATGGCATCCAGGAATCCATTGCTTATAGAATTCTCGAGCTACATGTGTGTAAATCTTGCATGCAGAGATTTGAAGCAACACATATACATACATATACATAAACACACGTACAAATGCACATATACATAAGCACATGCATACTCACATGCATACACATTACACATGAACAGTCCACATATACATATACACATGCTTAATATAACATCTACACAGTGCATATATACATACACATACCCACAATACGCATACATGTAAATACATATACATACACACTACATGTGTGCTATTCACACACAAGCGTACATATATGTGTGCATATATACATACACTCATACACACATGTGCATGCATATTGCATCTATAGTTTGTCTATACATGTACATACACACGTGCACACAATAGACTTACACATAGATTTCCCCCCTTTGTTCTGAGTCTTCTTTCACGACATGACTAATGTGGAAATATGTTTAACATGATTGTACATATATATTCTTTATCAGATTGCTTGCTATCTTGGGGAGTGAGGAAGCAAGACAGGGAGGGAGAAAAATTTGGAGTTCAAAATCTTACAAAGATGAATGTTGAAAACTATCTTTACATGTAACTGGAACATACTTTTGAGTAAAAAAACCCTCACAATACGCACATTACATATACATGCATACATACATATAGACATGTATATACATATACACATGCACGGGGAAGCTAGGTGGTGCAGTGGATAGAGCACCAGCCCTGAAGTCAGGAGGACCTGAGTTCAAATCCGGCCTCAGACCAAACACTTGACACTTACTAGCTGTGTGACCCTGGGCAAGTCACTTAACCCCAACTGCCTAAAACAACAACAACAACAAAAACAACCACCAAATAAATATACACATACACACGTGCACACACATATACATGTGTGTGCATACATTCCATACAGTTCATGAATACACAATGCACATGGACATATGTGTATACATATTGCATCTACAAGGTGATATATACATATACACACGGCAAATATACACATTAATGCACATATGCATATACATGCATATATGCACACGTACAATGTGTATACACATGCTTATATACATATATGAATGTGTGTGTATGTATGTGTATGTGTACACACACGTATATATGTGGTCTCTCTTGTTAGAATGTAAGCTTCCTGAGGCCAAGGACTCTTTCACTTCTGTCTTTGCATTCCTGGGGCTTAGCATGATGCCTGGCACATGGTAGGCACTTAATATTTCTTGATCAATTGACTGCCTCTGTGCCTTATACCTAGTAGACAATTAATAAATCTGCTGAATTGAAATGGTTTATATGAGTTCAATTAAACAAACGTTAATTAAACTCACACTCTATGCGTGGGGCATTGCACAGGACAAAAATCAAACAACCCCCACCCTTTAGGAGTTCACATCCCACCGGGAAACGTAACATGTACAAAAGAAGCAAATCCAAAGCAACAGAAAATGACTTCAGGAGGGAGAGAGTGGGCCAAGAGGGACCAGAGGGAGAGCAGTCGATGCAGTGGCAGCTCCTGTGCCTTCTTTGATCCGTCCTATTCTATAAAGGAGTTTCCTGAATTGGGAACAAGGTGGGCCTTGCTACCAGCCAAATTCCCTTCTAATTATAAGATTCATTGACAATATTTTAAAGTTAGGTTCACTCCGTTTAGCCCTGATAAATTCTTTAGGTGAGAACACCATCTTGATCAAATCAGTTCAAGGCAAAGGTATGAACGTCACCTAAACACTTCCATTCAGTCTATCAAAGACTTTAGACCAGCAGACTATGCCTAAAGGCCAAATCCAAAGTACAGTAAAATAGTATTTTAAAATGTAAAAAAAAAATCATTCTTAGCTTTCTGTCTGTACAAAAATAAGCAACTGGCCGGATTTGGCCCTTAGACCACAGTTTGCCAACCCCTGCTTTAGACTAATTTCATAAAGTCCTTGGATGAACTGAAGTAAGGTTGACAGGAAGTATGTTTGGATTGCCTGAGGAAACTTAGTTACTCCCCATGGAGCATCTATAAAATATGGAGTCGGTTCAGGCCCAAGAGATTTAAGCAAGTATAGAGACTCTTAGCTACACTTTAGAGAAGGAATTTATTAGTGGGGAGGAGCAAAGCCTTAGGCTTTGGTGTAGGCTCCAGTCTCTTACCTTTCTTCCCACCAGAGGAGGGTCTTATGCATTGAGGAGGAGATTTAGAGGGCTTCCTGCCTTCTATCATGGTCCACTCAGTGCACTCTGATCAGCTGATAGCAATGTCTGCACAAGCACAGGCTGCAAACACATCCACTGCTCTACAAAGAGCCCAGAAGAACTGATAAGCGATCCCTCATTGAGCCCCATGACTGCTCCGTGAAGGGAAGACAAGGACTTCCAATCAGCACGAGCTGTGAGCTACTCCTTTGCTACATGGGATATCTACATTGGATCTCACTTTCCCTTGGATTCTTCCATATGTACACGGAGGAGGGTGAGTTAGAGACTTTCGGGAAAATGTTTGTATCAACTGCACCAACTGTGCTGCCATAGTAGAAGAGTGCTTTCTCAGACCTGATTGTCAGCCTGCCTAACTGATAATCAATTAATAATCATACGGAGAAGCACATTGGTAGGAGCTCATCATCTCTTACATCAGAAACACAGCTCAGACCTCTCAGTTGCTGCTCAGCCGCTTTTCAGTCATGTCTGACTCTCTGTGACCCCATTTGGAGTTTTCTTGGCAAAGATAGTGGAGCACTTGGTCATTTCCTTCTCCAGCTCATTTTACAGATAAGGAAACTGAGGCAAACAGGGTTCAATGACTTATCCAGGGTCACACAGATTACTAGCTTACTCAGACTATGGTCTGAGGCCAGATTTGAACTCAAGAAGATGAGTCTTCCTGACTCCAGGCCCACACACTGTCCAATGTGCCACCTGGCTGCCCCCAGACTCCTCAGAATTACCCCTAAAGCCTTGCTCTAAGGACTTGATTTATCAAAGCAATTAGGAGTTGCTATAATTGCCTCGGACCATTCACTATATTTTTTTTCTTCTTAAAACTAGCAGTCTTCATGGTCTTTCCTGTAGAATTATCTTATTCTGAGGGAGAATTAAAAATTAAAGAAACTTGTCACTTCCTTACAGCCATTATGATAAGAGTTTTCCAATCCACCAAGCAAGGATTGGATATAATTCTGTTGTTGGCATGAACCTAGGTCTGGAGTTTTCCAAATAAAATTGGAGGGAGGAGGGGAAGGAAAGAAATAAAACAGAAAAAAAGGCCTGATTTTAATTAAACCCTCAGATGTTTTGGAGAAAGGCTCTGTAAATGCTGTTTTGACTTGCTGACCAAACACGACTTCGTTTTTGAATGTCTCTTATTTTTGCTGTAGAAATGAGAACAATTTCAACACTCAGACCCCACAGAGAAGTTAAGGGATTCAATTAGACGGTTTCCTCTCACCAGTCCCCAAGCCCCCTGGTTATACACTGGTTTGTTTACCCACCTGCAGTAACCTGGCAGGGAGACAGGCATACAGCATTTATCATAGGAGACAGCAGCGTGCAATGGAAAGAACATTGGACTAGGACCTGGCGGTGCAGCCAGCCCCAGAAACGACATCTCCCAAGTCACTGTGACCTTCAGCACCCTGCAGCCCCTCTGTGGGGCTCAGCTTATTCCTCTGTAAATGGAGGTGGTTGGACGAGACGGACTGTGAGGTCACTGGCAGCGCTAATATCTGACAATTCTCTGAGAAAGGTTTCCAGCGACTGTGTTGGCTACAATCGTAAATAAGAAGGGGACCACCGGGCCTGGGAGTCAAGAGACCTGGGTGCTATTACTGCTGGCTCTGCTATTAACTATATAATTCAGGAAGCAAGGCAGTTGAAAGAAGACAGTTTTAAAATAGTGGCTTTTGGTAATGACATCAGATAAGACATCAGCCTCTTCCCAGATCTGAGGCTGTTGGTGAATAGCTTATAAACACAAAGATAGCACAGCATTCTGGGCCAGGGTTTCTTAGAATGTCCATGCTACTGTGACCTCAGAGGCAGCTAAGTGGCCCAGGGGATGGAGTGTCAGGTCTAGAGTCCAATCCAGCCTCAAACACTTACTAGCTGTGTGACCCTGCACAAGTCACTTAACCCTGTCTGCCTCAGTTTTCTCATCTGTAAAATAAGCGGGAGAAAGAAATGGCAAATCGCTCCAGGATAATTGCCAAGAAAACCCCAAATGGGGTCAGGAAGAATTGGACATGACTGAGATGACGGAACGAAAAAAAGCTTTGACTTTGGAAGTGAATATATAGAAGAAAAGGAGAGCATGAGAGCCAAGTAAGGACTCTTTGTGTTTGAGAAGTTCAGCTCTGGGGAGTTTATATGTTACGTTAGTGGATTTGCCCCTGAATTGTGTCTGTCCTTGAGGAAAATCTCACGCATTGGGTTGTATGGTGCTTGAGATCTTGAGCACAGAACACATGAAGTCTTGGGCACTAATAACCCTTGTATTCAACAGTGGCTATACATGCTGTTAATGGTACCTTCTGGACCTTCCTCTGCCTTCTCAGTCAGGTCAGTGTCAGAGGTCACAGAGGCTTGTATTCAATGATTGTGGAGCATGGACTCTATTTAATGTTGGGCAAATCCTATCTACTCTCGGAGCCTCTATTTCCCGAAGTGGACAAAGAGGGGATTGATCCAGAGTGATCCTTCGTTCCCTTTCTGCTTAAAGACTCTATAACTGTTTACATAGGTGCATTGGAGCATCCATTTGCATCCTGCACTTATATATAGGATTGGAGGATGTGTAGCAAAACAAAAGAAAGATATTCAAAATCAAATGTGTTGGGGGAGTTTTATGCCTGCATTAAGAGAAAGGCTAAGTTTTCCAAGTATTAAATGGTGCATGTTTGGTGCCCTGTAGCACAAGGCCTTCTATTTCTGAAATACTGTTGATAATCATGTCTGTGCCTTCTCCCCCTGTTGTCAGAATGATCACAAGAAAAAGGCAGAATGACCTGATTTCTTAGGACACTGCGACCTGCTTCATTGTTCAGTCCTTACCCATGAGCTCCAAGAGCCCATTCTCCCAGGAATTCTGTGAAAATCAGCAGAAGCCACTGTTGCGAAGGTACTCCACAGGAGAGGGGTTATGGGCAAAAAAAAAAAAAAAGACCAAACCCAAAAAACAAAAAAACCCCCACATGTAAAGTCCAATATTAATTTGGCCAGTCTCTTGAAGAAAATAACCTCATTGCCAGTCTGGGGTCTCAGCCAAGTCGTGTTTGAAGGAAGCTTTGTAGCTGAGGGGCTTTTTGTGATGTGTGCTCAAGGAAATCTTATATGGCATCCCAGCCCTGGGCCTCAAGGATTTCATTAAGCCAGAGCATGGTTTCACTGACAGAGATGAGAGTTGGGCTGCAGTGAAGTGGCCATATTCACTGCGCAATCTTCCTGGGAACCGTTTTGTTAAAGGTTGAAAAAACCACACAAGGAAGAATTCAGAAAACAGCTTACAGGAGATGAAAAGGGAGGTTTGTAAAATAATTTTCTGTTCTAATTAATTATACTCCTACACTTGGCTCCTATGTTCTTCATTCTCTGGAGCGTGGATTTCTCAGAGCATTGGTGATATGGTGGATAAAGCACTGGAGTTTGAGTCAGGGTGACCTGAGTGCAAATCCTGTCAGATACTTACTGGCAAGTCATTTGACTTTTATCAGACTTGGTTTCCCCACCTTTAAGACGTAATTGTAGCACTTATCTTACAGTACTGTTGTGAAGATCACAAGAAATAATGTAGGTAAAGTGTTGTGTTGTGTAAATGTAAGCCCTTACTAGATGGTGAAGGCAGGATCTAGAGACCTGGCTCATAATATCAGACCTGCCTTCAACATCTGCCAGATGTGAGGGTATCTCAGTGATCTCAGGGAGATCTTCCATGGGATAGATGATGAGGGATGTGAGAGAAATGAAATGAGCATTGGATCTGGGGTTAGAAATGAATGAATGAATGAAAAAAAATTAGTAACTTCTTACCACGTGTCAAGCATTGTGCTAAATGCTGAGAGTACAAATACAAAAACCAAAATCAGTTCCTGTCCTCAAAGAGTTTATATTTTAGTGTGGGAGACAATACATAAAGGGAAATGGTGGCCAGGGAAGTGGTACTTTGGTCCACAAAGTTACTGGGATGGTGAATGATGTCATAAGGACTAGATTGCCATATTCTATCCAGGAACAGAGACAAAGTTTATTCGCTCATGGTTCCAAAATTGAGGAGAAAGAACTTACATGCAATTCATTGACTGTGGCCTTTCCATGACTTTGCCTGTTGCTGTGGCTGAAGCTTCGGCCAAAAAATTTATGATCTGGTAGCCAGCAATGTTGATAAGCCTCCATGAATTTGGGTATACTGAACCTTAAACTCCGCTATCCGTCACTGGGCTTATATGTGAAGTCCTTTTTAGGCTGGTAGAACACTGTTCCCCCTGCCCCCCACTTACCTTTTAGACCTGGATATTATAATTTTTTATGAATATATATATATATTACTGATAACCATATTTGGCTAGGTCCTTCCTTATCCTTAAGTACCTTATCAACTAGCTGACCAGATAAGACTAACATACATAAAGAAATAAGAGTGCAATAATTATATCTATATTTATGTCTATGTCTCTATCTGGAGGTCATTCCACTTTGCATCTGCTGTTCTGCCTAGTTTCAACTCCAGGGAACAAGATGCCCCTCTAGGATAAACTGATCACTTCTAATCTCATCACCATGCTGCTAACTCTAACCTCCCTCAGCCTCCTCTCTCCTTGGAATGGATGGCTGGAGAGCAGAGTTCCAAACTCTTTCCAATACCTTCCTTCACTGAGGGCAGACACTGGCCTCTCAGCTCTTTCCATTTTGTGCCTGCCACATTTCCTGGTTTCAATGCCTTGGAACAAGATTCCTGGTGTCTCCTCCCTGAAAGGAGGTGCCCTTTCCTTGAGGGCAGGAACTGTTTATTAGTTGGATTCCCAGAGCTTAACAGAGGCTGGCACATAGCAGGTGGCTTTATCTATATTTTCGTCATTGAGCGTTTTCAGTTGAGTCTGACTCTTCATGACCTCATTTTGGGTTTTCTTGGAAAAAATACTGGAGTGGTTCATTTTTACACATGAGGAAACTGAGGTAAACAAGATTAAGTGATTTGCCCAGGATCACACAACTAGTAAGTGTCTGAGGCCAGATTTGAACTCAGGAAGATGAGTCTTCCTGATTCTAGGACAGGCACTCTATCCACTATGCCACTTCTACATCTTTTATATGTTCATGTCTAAATCTATTTGTATATGTCTGACTGTCTTTCTATCTACCTATCTGTTTCTATAAAATAAAATGCTAAGCATGGTGTAGAGCAATCGACACTGTAGAAATCCAGAGAAAGGAGAGGCCATTGAGGATCCAGATGTACAGGAAGGCTTGAAAGAAGAAAATGGAACCGGGGCTGGGACTTGAAGGATGGGTTGACTTTCATATGCCCAAACAAACAAAAGAGGAAAGGGTCAAAGCTGCACAACAACAGAGGTAACATTTAAGCTGATTCATTGGAAGTAAACTGCCGTGTGCAGCTGAAAATGACTTTCTGAAGTCTTCCTGCCTTAGCCTGTTGCAGGTCAGCTTAGGGCTCTGCAGCCTCCTCCCATCAAAGCTTTGTTTTGCACTAGGACTTCACAAAGAGCTTTCGAATTCATTATCTCACTTTATCTTAATAGCTGACTCTTGACATTTCCCCTAGCATTTTCTATCCCTAATGTCATTAGATGCTCATAGCAAGCCTTAAATCGGTGTGGCAGAATGCTCAGGCTTGCCTGTCCATTTCCTGGGTCACCCAGCTATTCCTGATCGAGAGGGGTCTTGTCTGTTAGATATAGCGGCATATGACCCTTCTTGACTGATCTGTGAAGCTAATGGTCTTGTACTTTGAGGACTTTAAGGTAGTTGGCCAGTCAGAGTCCCAAGTTCTGTTTGTGACCTCACAGACAGAAGTAATTTATTCCAGAGTAAAAAGGGGAAATGAAGCCACCCTGACTGATTAGGTCACTCTGGATCATAGACCTATATCTTTCCTTCAACAACTTTTACTGCATCTGAAATAAAGCTGGCCAGAGCGTGCTAGAGTGCAAGCATAACCACAGTAGAGAACAGCCTTGCCTGATTCCAATAGTCCCTGGGACCGACTGCTGCCACCTTTCCCTTGTACCATCAAGGTTCCCATGTAACCCCACAGGGATTCTGACTAGGTACTGGTTTCTCTTATCTTCTGTCCAAATCTTAGGTAGTGCTTGCCCAAACTTTGGTTCTTTCTTCCTTTGACCCTCAATTCAAAAAGGACCCTGGGCAGGCCTTTTCTCTCTGTCCAAAATGGTAAAGACTCGCCCAGGATTTCTCTGGGGAAGCCTCACGAACCCACACTTAGCAGCTAAGCTCAGGTCAGGATAAAGAGTTAGTGAACTATGATACTGTGACCCAGGAATACTGGCATCCTTTCTGCCAGACCCTGAATACATAAGAAAGGATTCCTCTGCCTTCTGCCAGCTATAAGGGCTATTCATTTACAGAATCACTGAATTTCAGAGTTAGGAGCAACTTCAGAAGCCAACTACAATTTTCTAAGAGTCCCCACTAATTCCCATTAGCTCAATGTTCAATTAGCTTCTATCTGAAGACTCCACAGCAAAGTAGGGAAAGGGAGGAAGCTCAAGCTCCCAAGACATCTCATTGTACCCTTACCCAGTTTAATTTTTCAGGAAAATTTTCTTGACATCAAACCCAAAACTTGCATCTTTGTACCTCCCACTTGCTGCTCCTAATTCTGTCCTCTTTGGGCCAAACAGGACCAGTCCAATTCCTCTTCCATAACTGTCCTTCATAGATTTGAAGATGTCTCTCGTGTTTCCCATGAGCCTTCTCTTTTCTAGGCTAAACACAT